AGACATCAACTATGTGCAATAGAACGACTAAGTTGAAAAACATGCCAAAGGAGTAAATAAATGATAGGAGGGCAGCGATCAACGGATGTTGCCAATAGGTAGAAGGGCTGCGATCCACAGGAGGGCACTAATAGGTAGAAGAGCCCCGATCAACATCCCGAGTTTCGACAGTAGGGCACCGATAGGTAGGAAGTTGGCGAGCAGCAGGAGGGCGCCAATGGATAGAAGGGCAGCGATCAACAGGAGGGCACCAATAGGTAGGAGGGCGCCGATCAACAATCAACAGGAGGGCGCCACCAGGTAAGAGGGTGGCGAGGAACAGGAGAGCACCAATAGGAGGGTGGCGATCAACAAGAGGTCGCCAATAGGTGGGAGGGCGGTCATCAACTGGAAGTCGCCAATGAGCGGAAGGGTGACGATTAAAATGGGGGTGGCAATGGTGAGCAGGGCGCCTTTGCTCAAGAGGATGACACGAACAGGAGGGCGTCTGTGCGGAGGGCGCTGGTCAACAGGAAGGTGCCAGTGGATAGGAGGGCGGTGATCAACAGGAGGGTGCCAGTGGTTAGGAGGGCGGCGATCTACACGAGGGCGCCAATAGGAGAAGGGCCCCGATTAACATTCAACAGGAAGGACTAGGGAACCAATAGGTAGGAGGGCGGCACTGAACAAGAGGATGCCAAAAGGGAGAAAGGCGGCCTTCAAAATTTCACATGAGGGCTCAATAGGTAGGAAAGCGCCAATAATTATGAGGACGCCGATCAGCAGAAGGGCGGCAATGTGTAGCAGGGTGGCGACCTACAGGAGGGCGCCTTCGGGTGAGAGGGCGCTTATTTACAGGACAGCGGCTTACATAGGCGACCACCGTTACGCTTAGAGAGCTACAGCCTACAAATGTGGTTGGAGGGCGCCCGAGGGAGCCCTCCAACCGTATTTGGAGGGCGTATTTGGAATGAGCGTCCTCCGAGGGCGCCCTCCATCCTTATTTTCCCTGTAAACACATTCGCGATTGGCGGGCGCCCTCCAGTCGCGATTGTTTTTCGATTCGATTATATCACAATTGCATTTGCGATTAGAGGGCGCCTTCGGCGCCCTCCAATCGCAAAGGGCGCCTTCGGCGCCCAAGGGGGGGGGGGGCCATGGCCCAGTGGCCCCCCCCCTGCCTACGCCCCTGCTGACAATGAAGCCGTTGATCGAAGCCCTGGTTACTGGTAAAGAGACCAATCCTAGAACCGGTTGCGCCTGCCCGCGAACTCGTTTGGGCACTGACGCTTGAAATGACCCACTCCCCCACACGACCAGCAGCGGACAATACCTGACCGTCGTCCCTCGACACCGTCACCCCAGTCCGGCGACGGATCACGCGCCGCCCCTCCTCCGGCCGCCGACTCGGGCGACGCGCGGCGGCCGGCGCGCGGCCGCTGGGTTCCGCCCCGTCCGCGGCGCGGAGAGCTGCCGCGTTCCTCCCCTGATGACCGGGTCCAGACGCGTCCAGTGTCGGTCCAGCCCCGGCCGCCACGCGGTGAAGGGGAACGGCGTCTCGCGCCCACTGGCCCGGCGGACCGGCTCTGACAGGCCCGGGCATCGCTGGGTGATCTGCTGGCCACCGGGGAGTTCCACCGGCTCCTCCGCTCAGGGGCTCCAGATCGTCGTCCTCTGTCGTTCTCGTCTTCCGGCTCCTCCCACCCGTGCCGTCCTCTGCCGTCCTCGTCTTCCGGCTCCTCCCACCCGTGCCGATCTCGCACGGGTGAACCCGGCGATGCCGAACCCGACCAGCCACCGCGGCCGGCCGCGGCCGGGGATTGGCGGCGGGGTGCGGAGTAGCGGCCGTCCCGGTCAAGGTCATCCCAGCGGACGCGGCGGCCGGACACCGCGCTGGCCACCTCTGCCGCTTCCAGGCCCTCCTCTCGTGTTAGCTCTGAGAGACACTGCTCGAATGTAGACGCTTTCTGGCGAGACAACAGACATCTCTCTTCATGTGACAGCCCGACCAGAAAGTGTCGATATAGGGCCGCGTTATAAGACGGCACACATATTTTCTTCACTTGGCCGTCCTCTCCGAACATCTCGGGACACGCCTGACGGACCAGCTGACGAACCTGAAGACCGTAGCTTTGGGCTGAAAGGCTTCCTTTAGTCAGTGTCGCCAGGCCCTGTGACGCATGCTCTACAGAGCCGCTCGCACCACCGAAGTGTGCCTTGAGCTGCTCCGTCACTGTTGCTAGCGACAGCTGACCTCCAGTGTCTTCAATGCTGTTGACGACTGACAGGGCCCGTCCATGACACCTGGCCGCGATGATAGTGCCGAGCTTGGAGTCCGGCAGGCCCCCCAACTCTGCCAGTCTAGAGCACTGTTGGAGAAAGTCCTCCGGCCGGCCCGATCCGTCGTAAGTCGGGAAATCACTGACGGAGACGGACACCACAGGCTCCATCGCCACAATCCCACCGCTGCCACCATGTAACGCTGGAACGCGCCGTGCACTCCGTGCGCGCACCGGCGATACGGGACACGCGCCCCGTCCGAACACGACCGTAGCCAGTTACCGACTGTATTTTCCGTCTGACCTGACCCGCCTGCGGCGGAGCAGAGGCGCCCCCAGCCACAGCCGCATAGGCACCTCGAGGGGAGCAAACGGGGGAGGCTCACAGTGACAGCTGCTCCTGCTGAGGGCGGGACGGATGGGAAGTGCCGCCTTATCGACCGTCCTGCTTTAATAACGTTGGAACTCGGGAGGTCTGCATTGCCTCTGATGAAACATGGCACTCTCGTCTCTGCAGTTTTCCGGTAAGCGCGACATAGTGTGTCATGGCACGAGTGAAACGAAGCCGGAACGCCAGCACACGTCAGGAGCCGCAGCAAATGTAGACGTTAGGTGCTGAATCAGAGACAGTGTGTCACTAAGGACGCTAAGTGAGGCGCACCGAGTTGTCGCTGCATCATAACTGCATCATAACCAGTGGGCGGGTGCAGCCTGAACTAGGCCGTCACATACACACAGTGCAGGTGATAACTGGAACCTTAGGACAGCATGATCAGCGCGATGCCGGCTAAACAAGTTTATGCACTGACAATGGCATCCGGCTGGTTCATGTTTGAAATTAACATTACATAAGCCAAGCCCACTTCTAATATCACCTTTTACATAAGCAATGACCCATATGGTATTGCAAATCTTTTTACTTTAAAGGACGCTCTTCAGAGCCATTCATGCTTTGAAAACGCATTAGCAGGTGAATGTCCCATAATAAGTGAACGTATTATACAAATACATAGAAGTGAAACTGGTGGTTACCACTATAATATACGGCAAAATGACGATGAGCTTATATGGAAAATGGGCAGGGACTGAAAAGTGGAAGTTCGTAGATATGCGACATGCTGATTTGTGAGAGGGTTGTGAATCAAAAGCTTATGAGAAGTACCTAAATTCGTTGTAACAGATAGTCATACCTTACCCCAATCGCTATACTTCGCCCTTCTCCGCTCGTTCAAGGATTGCCCGTTCAGAGAAGCCCATTGCCGGCGTGGCTCCACGGTCTGCCGTTCGGCAAAACCTGCCGACACAGGTGGCCGCCGGCGGGGCAAGGCCGCGCCCGTGGCCGGCACAGCGAGCGGGTCGGCCCGGCGCCACCGCCGCCACCAGGTATGTGGCGGAAACCGCCGCCTCCGCCGCCGGGACGCCAGACGGCCGCGGCCGTGCTCAGAGGTCGACAGGAGCGCGCAGTCTCGAGCCCCGCGAACCCCGCTGACGCGCTCACCCACTCCGTGCCGAGCAATCATTCCGATAGTTTCGCGGTATATAGCGCCCCACCCCGTATCGTTTCGAGCGGCGGATGACCTTCAGACTACTGTGTCGTGATATTATTCTCGCGCCGACCCTTTTCCTGCGAGTCGGTTTCGTCAGACAGATGTCTGGCGACCATAACAGACTATCGCGGGCACTGATGAAACGGAGCGGCGTCAGCGCGCCGAGCCGCCGACAGCACCTGTCGGAGATTCACCCGTCATCCGGCCGACAGGCGGCCCGGCCCGGCCGGCGGCGAGCCACTTCCCACTGGGCCGGCGCGCCGTGCGCAGGTACCGTGAAGGGTGAGACGCGGCGGCGGCCGCGGCCGCGGCGCGGGCGGACGGCCGCCGAAGGTCGCCGCCGCCGCCAGTCGGTCCGCGCGGAAGGCCGTCGACCGGCGAGCGGCGGTCAAATCGCTCGGCAAACTCATTACCGTGGCCCTCCCGTCGTCGTCGAGTGTCCCTGTTTTAGGGCGTCCCAACTGGCGGCCCGATGGCGCCCTGTCCATAGACCCGCCCCACCGGTCGATTGTTAGGTCATATAGGGTCCGCGTCGCTGCCTTCGTAAACGTTCGTAAATGGGCACAGTCGCAGGCGCTACGAAAGCTGGACGACCGAACGCCCAGTTTTTAATAGATTGCATATTTTCACATCAACGCCAAGCTACTTAGCCAGCTGCTATATGAAAATACACTGCAAAATTACTATGTATGCATTAACTATAGTCTCTCTATGGCATGCATTCCACATACAACCCACAAAAAGTTATATGGTTATCTACACATATCATGAAACCACAAAACAAATGCGACTTTTGTCATTGGGAAAGCATTGGCTTGACTACCAGCACAAATTATCTCCAGACTCCCAGAGTCCAAGGACATTGAAGGAAACAAGAGTATTTCCTACCAACCAGGGCGGGAGCTGAGTGCTTGGTGTCTGTCGCTCAGGCAGCGGGCAACTGTGAGCTATTAAAGCACCCGGCGACACAGGTGTGACCGCGCAGCGGACACTCGCCAGCTGCCGCGCAGATGTGGCCTCCTTTAATTAATTGGCGGCGGCACGCCGGACTTCGACCCGCATCTCAATGGCGCGTCACTCCCCGCACATGAAACAGCCAACCCGATTCTACGTACAACGACCCTCCCTGCCCTCCGACCACCGAGAGCTGCGCACAAAGCTGAGTGGCCCCGCCTCTGCAGCCCACTCAACTCACCTGCAGCTCGCACCAGGCCACGAACACGCCCGTCGTCGTATCCAGACCCTTGTAGACCGTCTTGAAACTGCCTCTGCCAATCTCCTCGTCGAACTTGAGGAAGCGACCGTTGGGCGACGCCTCCACGGCCTTTTCGACCTCGTCCTCCTCAGGGTCCTCGGGCCCGTCCTGGCTCTCGGTGGTCTGCGCCGGTGACGGCCGGCCGCCCGGTCCGTCCACACTGCCACGCGCCGACCGCTCGCGCTCGCGATAGTTCTCGATCGCGCGCCGCAGCGACTCGTTCTCCTCCTCGAGTTTGCGCATGCTGGCTGCCTGCCGGCGCGACTCGGCACCCGGCTGCGCCGACTCTTTGACCGTCTCTGTGTCGGCCTTTTCGGCAATCTCCTCGCCCGGCGCCAGCCACTCGATCTGCGGCGAGAACGACACTTTGCCACCGTCGAGCCGGTTACGGTCGCGGTGTCGCACGGCAGAGAGACGCACAGGAGTCTTGCCGCCCCCACCACCGCTCCCGCCCCCGCCGTGGCTGTGCACGTGGCTGTGACTGTGACTGTGGCCAGCGCCGGCCGACGCGCCGTCGCCGTTGACAGGCTCATGCGGCGACGCACGTCTCTGGCTTCCGCCGCCCGCGGACACCTCCACACTGAATGAGCGTTTCTTGAGCGCCGGCCGCATCTTCGATTCCGGCTGCGGCGTCGTGCTTTTGCGCGAGCGCAGCCGGTCCTTTTTGGCCGGCGCGCCGGCGGCGTTCAGGCTGCTGTTAGAGCCCATCTCGGTGCGCTCGCGGAGGGCGCGCACGGCCGCCGACGGCCCCGGGTCGGGCGGCTCCTTGAGCGCCGCCTTGGCCGACGTGCGGCCGCTGGCGGAGCGCGGCTTGCTCATGGCGCCGTTCTGGCCGCCGTGGCGCACGGGGATGCTGCTGGCGCCGGCCTCCTTGCGCGCCGTGTCCTTGATGCGCGCCGGCGCCGGCCGCTCGTGCTGCTGCCGAGAGTCGCTGTCATTGGACGGCCGGGCCCTGTCCATCGCACAGGAGATACATTCCCACCTGTGGGCACAGAGGGGGCGGGGTCATCGCAGACAGGGCGTGACTGGGACCATAGGGGGGATGGGGTCGTCACAGACGGGTGGCACTGGGGCCAGTGCATGATGAGTCTTATCAAGTGTATAAACATCAGTCTTGCTAGTTTGAGTGAGTGAGTACCTAGCATTCTAGTTAAAGGAAGACTGCCACCTTCAAAAAGTTTTCTCAGATCGGCCTATGATTTATTCCCTGGACAAAACAAAATTTTAGAATTCACCTGACAAAGTATCATCACGTGAATTGCGAAAAAATTGTCGATTTTCATACAATTATCAATCGGTTAATGTCTAGCGACAATGTTTACACATCACTAGACTTCAAGGTCATAAGATTATTACATTTTATTTGAAAAAGTAAGGTATTTTATGATTTACTAATATATGATTTCATGAGAAATTGGCCATGTTTAATTTATTTTGCATTTAAGTTCGTAAAACATTTAAAAAAATCATGGCTCATTTGGAATGGGTCTGGCCCATGTTAAACCCCATTTCCCACACTTTTTTGGAAAAAATGAACTACTGAATATATAAGTTTAACTTTTATTTTGACACTCCAAAATTCTTCTCTGATCTCGAAACAATCAAAGTTTTGACATATATTTACCAAAAGATAAGAAAATTCATGTTTCAAAGTTATCGATAAACAGTAGAGATGTCGGTTTTCTTGGACTAAAAAAATGGCATCAAACTGAACTTTGGTCTCCGATTTCTCGCAAACGGGTTCGAATTTCGGAAAACCGACTTCAGTCTGGGACATAGGTGGCTCAGCTCTAGTGAAAACCGTTTTGTGGAAAAAAGGTGGCAGTCTACCTTTAACCACACCTAATACATTGCATTCATTTTTTCAGTACACAATGCTGATGTGGCAAACATTTTTAGCTCTGCGTTCAAACACACAGTTGAAAAGGTTAGTCTGGAGGCACAGACGAATTGGAGGGCATGATTCTCAGCAGTGTGTATTTGTTTTAGTGTGACTTCCTTTTATTCATAGGCTGCGGAACGGGGAGGGCACAGGGGCACCATGCCCCCTTTGATTTTGGCATTTCAACATTAGCCCTACGGGCGTTGCATGGAAAGAATGGGACCGAAAGTCGGCACTGCCCCCCTTAATTGAAGGTGTTCCGCCGCTACTGCTTTTATTCGTGTTATGTGCCTATGATGGCATAATATAAACTGAAGTATTAAATCATTATTAAAAGAACAATAAACAGAAAACACTCCATGTTATTTCAGGCGTTTTAACTCAACAATATGCATCGAGGCAATTGAGACAAATGTGGCCCTTAAGAAAAACATGATATTTCGAAGTCACTAATAGTACCAATAAGAAAAACATACCTCTTCGATTACCAGTCCAGAAGCGTGTATGATGAGGTAAGCTGGAAGACGTCTAACCCCAAAATAAGCGCTACAAAACACAAAGAAACAAACAGCGAACCCCACCTCGCTACATCCGCCAGCGACCTGCCTGTTCAAGGTTCTCGAATGAGACAGCTGAGTTTTATATTTTCCTTTTATAAGTCTCTTATGACGTCATTTTCATGATGCAGTGCTAGCAAATTAAATGCGTTGTGTCGTAGTGCTATATGCTGGTAATATTCTACACTTAAGTTGTAAAAAATATACGTAGATCATTCTAATCACTAACATTTATGAGTCGCTGACTGATACATATTTTGATACCAAAATTCCTTATCGTTTTATCCACTAGTCCTACCCGTGGTCATCTGTAATAATCTTGCCCGTGGCCTAGTGGATAAGGCGTTGTCTCCTAAAACTCGGTGGCAGAGAGTGACTTTGTCTCCACATTTTTGGCCTAAATTAACAAAGTTTTTGAATGATGCGACCATCACTGGCACTTGGCAGATCCAATACGGCATTTAGGGCAGAGCTGCGGAGTCGGAGTCGCAGTCAGTCGATTTTGGAAACCAGATCCAGAGTCGGAGTCGACGTCACCGAAAATCCGTCGACTACGCGGCCCCATGGCAGGACTGTGGAGCCGGAGTCAGATTTGGAGTCGGTGGAAGTCGACAGTTCCACCCAGAGTCGGAGTCGGAGTCACCAAAAATCCATCAGCTACGCAGCCCAAATCTAAGGTATTTCCCCCTCCCCTGTCTAATTTTGGGTCGTTTCTCTTTTCGAAACCTACCCTACCATGAAAACTTCTCTAAGAATAAAGTGAAACCCCTAAAGGCCTGGGCGACGACATCCCGCGCCGTGCTGGTGGTCTGAGTTTTTTGTCGTGCTGGGAGAGGGGCGTCACGCCCCCCCCACCCCCGTTTCAACTCGGCCCCTGGGCCTAGTCTCAAATCGTTCCGCCGCCTATGACCTCAACCGTACTTCAGCCGCAGTAAGCCAGAGCAGCTACGAGGCAGCCGGGCCTGGCCATGGCACGCCGTGGCAAGCAGCTGGACTTGAGCCGGTCTTGGCGGTCTGAAACCATACCAAAGCGCTACGGCAAAGACTGGTTAGCCGGAATAGAGCTATATTGACCCAAAACCACCCTGTTCCGACAGCGTTCCGTCCACATACGCCGGTTCAAATCTGGCAGGTCGGATCGTTGCCAGGGCAAAACGGACTTCAGCCAAACCAAATTGCTGGCTGGGACGTAGCGACACGTGGTACGCGGCGTTCGAAAGTGTCAAAAATAATGAAGAAAATGCTCGAAGCAATCTCACCCATGGCAGCCTTGCCCAGTGCCCACCGTCCGAAAGCGATAAAAGTTCCGTGGCCGACGCCCCTGTACCTAAGTATAGATGAAAAACTGCGAATATTTCAACATTTTCCCTGCCCCAGTCAAATATCAACACATGAAATCTCGCGAAGAAAAGTAAGAAAACGGAAGTAAAGCCAAGTGTATATCCTTTTCCAGCCAATCGACCTATCACGAATGTGTCGTTTTTGACGGCAGGTATGCATGATGGAAAATGATACCCATCGCGAAAGCGTCTGAGCACCCTCAACCTCGAGCTCCTCACCGCTGTCAACGACAGTCAATATAAGCGTTTGCGCTCGCACTCCCGGTACATGGTATTCTTCAGTACTTTCTTAAGAAAGTCAACATAGATAGCTGATACAAAATCCGCCCAACATTTCCTTCATGTGCACCACAAAATCAATGCTTTCCAATGCCCGAAAAAAGGTCAACATAAAAGAGTTTATTGAACTAACTGGAACTAGAAGTACGCAGAGGACGCGTCACGCCACACTACACCTAGTTAAAGCGATCTTACCGATGCCGGGCCTTTAACTGGGGACAGTAGGCGCGCGCGCGGCGCTGGCGGCGCCCGGTCCCGAGCGGCGAGTCACCGCGCGCCGCACAGAGGGCTCCAGCGGCCCGCCAGGACCGGCCCGGGACTGAAGATCCGGCGCCCGCGCCGTGCAGACGCGCTGCCGTCCAGCAGAGGCTGGCGCCGTAGTGTGCCGCGCGCCGGACCGCTGCCCGACTGTCCAGTTACAGACAGAAACACAAGAGCGGACCGCCGCGCCTCACTCGCGGGCCAGGCCGCCGACCGCGATTTAACGGTACAAAAATACATCACAGGTGGCAATTATAGTCCATTGGGGCAGCAACAGCGTGGTGACACGGAAGCAGACATCGGTAAAATTTGGCTAGCATGACTGAACACGTATTTTCACATACGTGTACAACAATTTTGCGTAAGATGACTTCAAGAAGATTTACATCTTTCCACAGAGATTAGGCTAAAACTGGACATTTATAGAGCAGGTTAGGGTCAATGATATAAACATATAGAAAGAATACAAAAATATACATGCATGCACCGGGTTTCAAAGTTACAATACATTTCATCGGAGCTAAACCATAATAAGAAGTAACTAACAATATGCACTATCCGAGAAACCGTCGCGACATTCCGATTTAGCACTGTGGTGATCGCGAATACCTAGCATCGGCCATCCGACAGCTAGCCAAGGTGTTCCTCTGGCGGCAGCCGATTCCAGGCCTCACGACACCAGCTGAGAGAGCCACGGACCTCGCCAGTCGACTGGGACCAGCTCTCAGCGGTGGTCACCGTGCAGAGGCCGGCGATAGACGTCGCTAACGACACTGCCGTAGACAGCGCCAAAGTCTCCACGGCAGGGGTCGCCACCGCCGCTGGGCCGCGCCCTCAGCGCTGCCAATAATTATTGTCGGATGAGGCCGAGCCGGCCGCTCAGCACACCGGTTACAGCCGGTATGGCCCGAATCGTGTCGTCGCGGCGTGTCGAGTCGGCAGTGCCCGGGGCGGGTGCCCGCCGCACCGTCCTCACTGCCCGCCAGTGTCTCCCTCAGTCCCATATCACATGTGCCGGCCGCCGGGTCGGGGCGGCGCGGCCGACCGGCGCGGCGCCTAGTCCAGCGGCACCAGCTGCAGCACCACCGTCTTCTTACTCAGCCAGTAGCTGCCGGCACAGGAGGCGTGTCAGTCACAGGACATGGCGCCCGTAACGCATTGACAGCAGTCACTGAACGATACAAACGGCACGGAGAGGTGCAGAACGGGCGGCTGGAACGCCACGCCGCAGGTAGGTACTGAACTGGCGGAGCTGTATTCGGGGAGGGCACACACAGAGAGACTCGAGTGACCCGGATGTGGGCGACAGACGAGCAGCTGGCCGTGATGTGATCCCAGCTCGTACTTAACGGAGCTGTCATTGACCGCCCTTCGGAAGGTGGACGAGGAGGGGACGGGTGCTTATAATGATCGTCACCAGTCGGACGTAATATCGTGACAGACGCACCGAAAGCGATGCAAAGGACCGTTATCATAACGGTACTAACACAATATTCATGCCACTCAGGGTATTGCTTCTTCACATAAAAACCGCATCCAGTGTGAAAATGCTTAAAATTAATGAGTCGGAGAAAGATATGAACGAAGAAGCGTTTCAGAATACACAGCTCTAACAGCTGCACTGGACGGCGGACACCGGACACTGTTGCGTGACGGGCCTATTCACACGGTGTGTCGGACCCTCCCTGTTCCCGCTCACACACCCACAGTTTGTCCGTAGTACTACCCGGCAACGAGTGTCGGCAGTTACTCGACACGCCACCGTCAGTCGAGCAAAACAGCCAGCCGGCCACTCCGGCTCGCAGCCGCGGCCAATAGCGCAAATTGGTCCAACAGGGCGGCGTTTCATTATCCGAGCGGCAGCGTTTTCCAGCTACAAACGCCCAACGTCATCCCACGGCCGGGAGTCACCGGATGACGGACACTACCATCTAGTATATCAGTTACTGGAGGGAGTCGGCCCGATCACCCCTCCCTGGGGAACCAACTCCAACAGATTTATATGGGAAAGTTAGCTCTACCGGTCACTGAGAGGAAGGTTGTGATGGCCACTGAGGCAGCCAGGCTTCACCAGGGAAGCACGAAACACGTGTCTGGTCTCGCATGACCAGGGCAGGCAGCGGGGCTGACGGCGCCAGTCCGGCTCCTGCAGCAGCTGACTCGGCTCAGCGGCCAGAGGTCAGTGCGAGCCGGCCGACCGGGTCGTCAGAGGTCAGCTCAGGAGCCTGAGGTCAAGGCGAGCCGGCCGACCCCGGAGGTCACGGGCCGGTCAGTCTCATATCACCGCGCTGGCTCAGCACAAACGGTAGCGATCGGTGGTCTGACCCGCACACGAGTCAGCACTCGGCTCTGCTCAGTCATCTCTCCGCTACCAAAACCAGGGTATATTGACTTACCAAAACCAGTCAGCGGAAAACTGGTGAGTCACCTGAGAGCGTCCTTGGTAAGCTCAGCACCGGTGTGCTACTGAAACGGGCGCCTCCTTACCGCCAGGAACTTAGCTCACCTTTCCCTGGATCAGCACTCACCCTTCCCCAGCTCACAACTGGCTCAGTACTCACCTCCACCAGCTCAGAACTCGCCCTCCCCCAGCCCAGCACCCGTCCTTCCCCGCCTCTCACCCACCCTGCAGCTAGCTCACAACTGGCTCACAACTGACCCAACCCTAGCTCACAACTCACCCGAGGCCGGCGCCGAGCAGCAGCGACAGGATGTTGGTGACGATGAAGGTGCAGAGCACGCCACGCGAGAAGATGCCCGTGTTGCCCACCTTGGCGTTGCGGATGCTCAGCGCCCGGTTGGTCAGCCCGGTCGGGTGTCGGAACCGCCAGTCTCTGCGAACACAGCCCAGAGGCGTCAGCAGCGGTGGATGGCAGCGATCGAAAACGTGAATAGTACACACAAAACACGCTAACAGAGGCATAAACATGCAGACTAACAGATCTGTCACTTATACGCTGGAGCGATTATTTCAATAATACCAGATCGCGTTGGAATTCGATAAACAGACGAATTCACCCAGGGCAAACAAGATGAGCCCCATTAAAACAAACAACAATCCAGCCTGCCCCACAGGACGTCCGCCGCGGCCAAATACCGCGGCTGACTGGGCATGGGCTGCTGGGCCAGATACCGACCGGCCCAGACGGCCGTCAGGCGACGCTGGACCAACGGAGCGCCGTGACACTCGGGTTACCAAACAAACCAAACAACTGCGGAGATCATACACGTCCAGCATACGGTTCCCAATACAGACAGTATTTGGGCAACTCGTATGACTTGTATTCAATTAGGTCTGGATAGTGGACATCGGACAACCTTCTCAGCGCGGAAATCTTGCCCCTCCTATCCTGAATAACCCATTAACCCGAACTCTGCTTCTTCCTTCTAGTTTCAGTCACACCATCGCAGCTCCCCTTGGCTGATTTTAGTTACACCATCACACGTTTGAGCACTATCGTAGCCACACCGCGACACGACGGTGGCCTCCACTACCTACATGACCTGAGACTCCGTCTGTCGACTCTAAACACCTCTGTCGGCCTCGGCCGGCGCCGTGACCGGGCACACCAGGCGGCGGCCGGTGACTCAGTCTGACGCGCCGCGCAGCTGTGCACACATACATGCACACGGTGAGACGCGGCTCGGCTCTGAAACCAGGCGCCGCCGGCCGCTAACAAACAGCCGGCAGCGCGGCCAAACCAAACCGAATCAAACCAGCGCCGGCACGCCGTGCGGGACGGTCCGTGCCGCTCGTCGGCGGGTGGGTACGCCGTGTGCTTGTGGATCGACTCTGTTGACCAAGACTAAGAGCACGAAGGTGCATATTTTCAGCATTCTGACCGTCAAGGAACGCGTGTCAGAGGAGCATGACCACAGCTTCGGTGGGTATCATCATCTGAAGATACCCCTTACTGGCGAGGTAAATTGTGATGCAAGCACATCCAAGATAAAAAAGAACAAAGACGACTGCCAGCCGACTACGCAAAGCGTCGTCGGAAGCTGAGCGAGGTGGTGGGAGGATACAGGCACACAGCGGACCACAGACAATGGGCTGTTTGACAGCCACAGCTCACTCAGCCCACGGGCCACGGCTCACCAGCCGGCCACCGCCGACCGCAACACCATTCGTCAGAGCACTGCTGCACTGACCTGCACTGAACAAACGGTGGGAATTATCGTCTACCGCAGGTTGATACGACGAAAATAAAAACAGCATTCTCCCCCTAACCACTATAGAAAAGAGCCATTCGGCAACCCGAAATAAGTAGGTATTACTTTTTTGCAACGAGATAGACGGCAGACCCAACACAACCACTGCCACGTTGAGAGAGAGAATTAATTGTTTATGATCCCTATTCCCTGACAGTACTCAGCCCAGTGTACAATTGCATACCGTATACTTATATGAGGCGTTCTGCCTCTGAACAAGGCACAAGTTTCATTCGTTAAACTCGCTTCAGTGCCTCAATTTTCCACTTGACAGCAACTGTTTATACACCAATTTTCCACTCCCTGCTCAAGGAAGCCTTACCTTACAGACGGCGCAACTGCATTGTGAACCGCAGCACAGCACCTTGCAACAACAATTTGAAACGAAATACATACTACATATTTCCGTAATAATACAGCTAACAGGCAGCGGCACTGGTGAAAAGTAATGGTACCAGTGCTTCTGCAGGCACCTCTATTGTTATTATTTCAGGTAGGTACGTGTACCGGTACTGACTTTGGCGGTGTGAGGTCGGGCCGACTGCTCCAGTCCCAGACCCAGTCGGTGCTCTTCTCCATCCCGAGAACATCCTCCTGAAACAGAACAGTCACTGGTCAGAACATCCCCTCCTCCCATCCCCAGAACATCCTCCTGAAACAGAACAGTCACTGCACAGTGGCCCTTTTTCAGAATTAGCACGCATTAATTCTCACATTACCTGAAAGTGGTGCAAGACATCACCACGTGATCAAGGACGTATTCCCTGCCAATGCAAAGAGAAGAAAAGAAACGAACTGCCCAAGGAGATTCGGCCCAACAGCGACAGGCCGCTCGGCCCAAGATTTGGCGCACGTTCGCACGGCTCGCCCGCCGGCCCAGGCCGCTCCGAACGCAAGCCCGCCAACCGACCGCGCTGCACTGACCGCCAGGACGCCCCAGGGCGTCACGTGACCGCATCTACAGCTGTTGCCAGCCACCGTTAGTCGGCCCCGGCCGGGCAGCAACTAAGGTCAGCGCGACGCGACCAATACAAACACATAGGCGCTTTTGACGTTAGATCTTAAGCCGACCACGGGACTTGTGCGGCTTGGACATCAAACGCGACAAGAAATCGGACAGTTTTTCTTGAGCGCAGCGTTATGCCTACATGACATTTCAATAAGCACATCTTATGGCAAAAGTCAAGCCACATTTAGGCGCACACCAGGTGACACCAGGCCAGGTCAATGAGCTTAGTCGTATCGGACAGGAGCCACAGCCGCTCGCGGACTGAACTGGCTCACGTTATCCACCGTAGAAGCAAAATGGCGCAAAATGGCGCGATGCCCTTTGGTGGACATGGTCAGAAGAGATCGGCGATTCGAACGATGTATAATACGACATGTCCCAGAGTGTGCTACTTAACATAAAGCTTCATATGTATGCCGCCATCTCCAGTTAATAATTGTCCTGTTATTGTGTCCACAATATTTGGCAAAAGTGGTCTATTTAAGTTTGTACAATGAAAATTGTGGTTTCTAGGGCTTCTACGTAAACTCAGCTTCACAGCCATGCCACTAATTTTTAATATTTTCTCACCGAAAGCCTTACAAATTGATGTTCATCTTATCCTACTTTTTAGGGTCCGCCGGTGGTGTCCGCGCGCCTCTCGACAAACTTCGTGTTTGCGGTCAGTTTTACCAAAGATAATTATTTTTTAGGAGGTAAAAATGGCACCATCGGATAGTTTGGAATGTTTTGCACACGATTAGACTGCTTTTTACTCAAAAGAGGAGAAAAAATATTTTGGATTTATGCGTGCTAATTCTGAAAAAGGGCCACTGTGCACTGGTCAGAACATCCCCTCCTCCCATCCCCCGAACATCCTCCTGAGACGGAGCTATCACTGATCCGTACAGCTCATCCATAGACCTCTGTGTGACCTGGGTGTACAAATGTCTATGGCTTATCTCATCCTATCTGAGAGCTCCGCCTATCATCTCATCCCCCGGCCATCTCACAAAACGGCACCAAACCAGGCACAGCACCACTACATCAGCCTTTCATACAGCTACTCGCTAATCAAGGGAACTACAACTAACAGGGGCCTAACACAGCAGCCGGCTCGCGGATAGACGGCTGTCTGTCCGCCAGCCACGACTGGGTCAGCCGGCTACCCTCCCCGGTGATCTCGGTTCCTGCCTCCTAATACCGTGGTTACTGCGGTTACCGTGGTTCCCGGTTACCGTGCCGCTGTCCATCAGACCCGCTGGTATCATGGTAAACAGGCGGGGACGCCACAGACCATGGCGCCGCCAGCAGCGTACGCCCCACCGAGGCGGGGCGGTAAATGGTGCGGCTCGAGGCCAAACACCGCATGGCCGGCGGCAATTAAACCCCTCCATGGCCTTCACACCCGACGAATACGGAGCCACCGAGCAAGTAAAAACACCCTGCGGCGTCCATGGTCTGGACGGGATAGGCAGACCGGTCTCGATAAATACCACTACCAAAACAATGTCTGCAATCTGCATCAACAGCATCTGGATGGGTCTCAAACAGGCACGATCTCGTTTGTCCACAGCGAGCCTTTGAGTGAGGAAAACGTCCAATGGCTGTTGTGATTTCGTCAGTCGCTGTCGCCGCTCATTCCAGAGCACACCTACAAACCTCAACTCCTTTTTGCATTGAAGGTTTTCACAACGGAGCGGCTGATGCAATCCCGGCAAACAAAACATACACACAATAAATCCGGAAAATGACCTCGGGACTCCGTGAGCACTGGCCAGCTCATGCATCATTTCGCGTACGATTGCAAGGTCACCAGAAAACAAAGCAGACCGGACCGAACAGATCGGCACGGCGCCCCGACGGCGGTGGCCGCGGTGGTAGGAATTAGCGGCGTATGTGCCGGCCGGGAAACCAACACAGCTCAGGTTTCGGCGCGTTTGCCGACAAAAATAGCGGCTCACTGGCCGGGAACGGTCCGCCAGCGGCGAGCCAGGTGTGCACTGAGGGCGCACTGTGGCGGTGCCGCCCCGCCCACCCCGTCCCGGAGCGTGCGCCCAGCGAGCACCTGCGTCCCACCCTACCGCTCTCCAAACCTCAGCCACCACGTCTCGGAGCTGAGATGGTGCACGCATTCCATACACCGCACATCGCAGTGTGCGCTGGCCCCTGAGTGCACTAACGTCGGCCCTGCCCGGCCAGCAGCTACGAGCACGAACCCCGACCGGAGCAGCTCCTGGTCGGACCAGAGGGAGCCGTAACTGGCAGTGCGGACCGATGATGAAACAAATCTATCTGGTCATCCCGTCACACAGAGGCTGGTGATGTGCGAGACAGCGAGTCACGGCACGCCATGGTGCCGCCGTATTAACAGTGTCACGACCACGGAGGCGGGCGGGCGTGATGAGTCACGAGCCGAGAGTGTTCGTGACGGTGCGTCGCGAGCCAGAGCGCGACGGTGCGTCTGATAAGGCGGTCCCAAACAGGAGGAGCATGCTCAGAAACTCTCGACAGGAGCTGAACAGCGCACTACAGAGATGCTCGACAGCAACGCACAAGCTCTTGAGATCGCTAAGTCATTCCACTTCAAAGATCAACGCTTCAAATGCGCCATTAGCACACTCCGTCCCGTTTTACGCCCGGCCTCAGCAATCAGCGCACCCTCCCAGCCCTCAGCCCTGCCGTCGGTCTCGGCCGCGCTCGTGTGTCGATGTCACGGTGCCGGTGGGCGAGGCGCGCGCACCTGGCCCGCTCCCACCATGGGCCCGTGCCGACAACAGGTGGACAGAGTCACAACGGGCGGACGGCGCGCCGCGTCACGTCACGTCAGACCCGTACCTACCCACCGGGCGTGGGATCGGGAGGTGGGCGTGATTTCATCACCCTCAACGCGAAGTTTCCCTCGTGCTGGCTACTACTCTGCTGCGGTCATTAAACATAACGCCTAAAACAGACCGGCGCCATGGACTGAGCGCTGAGCAGCGCTGACAAGGGCGAACGGACACAGGCCCCGCTTCTGCCCAAACAGGTGCACGCCGCTGCATCAGCGGACAGTGACGCGGCATCATTGTCGGTCACGGTTCAAAACACGGTAATACGGGTCCGGAGCCTGGGGAGCCCCTCGTATGGTGCATACTAGTGGGGAAACGAACACTAGCCCGAACATTGCATGGATGGATGGGACAGACGGGTGGGAAGCCGCGGTCTGTATCGCCTCTGGTCACTGGTCTCCCGAGCCATCAATCCTCCTGTCGGCGACATCGTGTGGCGGAGTCGAGACTCATCCTGAACAGGCGCGGAGGCGATGTGCCAAGCCACGTCAAAGGTAAACAGCGAAAATAGAAGTTCGTGGGTCTTCCTTCCTCAGGTGAATCATGAGTCGCCGGTCAGTGACGTAAAAGCGGCGGACCGTTCACCGGTCAGTGACGTTGAGGGGACACCGTCTCTGTACCCGCTGTAATTAGCCACTCATTCAGATCATATTCACTCGTACTGCTCCAGATTCAGTGGCATCACGGTAATACAGTTCGTGGAAAAAGGATCGCACCAGACTGAGAACTGACCAGTCTGCTACGCTTAAATCCTCATTCCTCAACCATCACAGGCAACGGTCCAAAGATGCACTGTTTTACCAGGAAAACAACATGGGTAAGCGAGGAAAGTACTGTAGTGGATAGTGAAGATGATAGGAGACGGGTTTAGCCGGCAAGAGACAAAAAAACCCTACAGCGCGCGTGCGGGTATGCCTCGGCGTGTTGATTAAGTGTCACCCTGAATCAGTGGTACCAGAAACCAGTTGGACGGAAATAGAACGTATCTCTGGATCAGCGCTGATTGTTTAATTAACGTTCACACTAACAGACACTTGGCGGTTGATCTCACAAAACAAGCCAAGTGCAGTCGGAAGTGGCGTGCAACGAAAACAAAGGAGAAGGTGGGCGATTTGTCAGATGGTCGCGGTTCCGCCATAAGCATCTATCAGAGTGAATAGCAAACGTCCTTATGAATGTCGGCGACTCGGCACGTTGAATATGCGCTTGCGGATTCGTTTATAACATAACCAATCTCTTATGGAATGCATGTGAACGGAAAAGACGCAGCTATATTTAGAATAGCTCGTAATCGCCTTATATCCATTTGGTTATCCTGTCTGACGCAACAGGACAGAAGACAATGACAGCCCAAGTCCTTGAAATTGACGATCACGGCTCCCACAGCCAAGAAAGCCGCCGGTGCTTGGCGTCGAGCTGTCGCGTCGTCCGCACCATGGCCGATTACGGGGACTGGAAGATATCGGTGCCGGTCGCTCAAAAGAATGACCGGCAAACCCCTATAACACGTAAAAAGCCTGCTGTCAGCCCGCACATTAAAAAAAAAACGCTGCGTTTGGGTCTAAAGACGAAGCATGCGTGCTCGGAATCTCCGCCATGTGTTGACACTCAATGGTCGTAGTATGTTTGTCGTAAAACTACCGTAAAATCGTACCGGTGTGTGAATTACTGCCGAGGGGAGACCACGCAGCTGAATACGGCACATAGTTACATAGAAATATACACATCCCGATAAAATAAGGAGGCGATATCATAGCTCGGTAACATAGAGCTGCCAATAAAACAACATATGCCGGTAATGAAATCCGCGTAAGAAAGCAGGTGTACCCCCTTGCACCTATTGTCCCACACGCGAACACCCCATCAGCCCACCGACACCGGGCTGACGCCAGTATGCGGGCTGGGCGGCTGGCAGAGGCATTGTTCTGCGGGCGGGCGGATTACGCCCCACCCAGCCTGCCGCCGACGCCACCCACACCAGAGCGGTGGGATTCGGCAGCGACCGTCCTGCCCGGCCCACCTGTCACCGTGACAGACGAGCGACACCGGCCGCCGGACTGCACCAGCTGCGGTACACGGATTACAGAAAACCCAGCCTACAGCGGACAGAGCACGGGCGCTCTGTGGCAGGCTGTCGGCACGTGACACAGAAACAGATCAGATGGAGGAAATAAGCAAAGCTACTTGTTAAGATAATTTCCGTCAGTACTGCATATTATTGTATTGTATATTATTGTCCCGAGGCATCCCCGGTAAGGCTTCCCGGAACGCTGGATTACTTAACATTTCCATTTAGGGGAAGTTGGGGCAATGCCGGAGTTGGGGCAAAGCCGAAATTCGAGATATTTCTAAAACCGTACGACATGGATGCCACGCCTCAGTGATGCTCTGAAGCTTAAGTGACTACAATTATCGCATGTTTGTTACGAGTCGTCATTTGGAATACTTCGGCTGTGAGGGCGCCAAAAGCGTTTTCAAGGTACGTTTCCCTTGTACTACATGCGCCTTTGAAGCTGCATTTCTTACTCATTATGCTACCGTTTGTCTGGCCAATTCGGTCAAGTAATCTTCAGCATGTCTTTGCATAAGTGTGCTGCCTATTTGAAATTTATACAGCACGTTTAAAAGTTATGGGCCTGCAAATGAAAGTATGGCTGGCTGGGGTAATGCCTAAAACGTGCAATTACGCACGTTAAAACACGCTACGTGGACTTTACTGCTGTAGAATAGCAATGCGTATTTTTAGTCAAACAAATTACACTTTCAGCCGGCACAACGGCCTGTTACCTATAAGGAATGATTTACCTGGCATTTTCTTATTATATCACACAATTACAACTTCCAGTGTGCACCAAGCGTCCTCAAGCTCTTAAAACGCGTGTCAGCTTTGATGAATTTTGGATAAAGTTTGAGATAAATTGGCAAAACATAAATGTCGGCATTCCTCGTAGATCATTTATCCCATTTTCGGCTTTCCCCGCAGTCCGGGGCAACGCCGAAAAAGTCAGTTCTTTGATATTTTTAGTTTTTGCGCTTAGCGGTATGCGAATTCATCAAATGCGCCTGGTATGTTTGAAAGACAAAAGACTGGCCTCTCGAATGACGCCCACAAGAATAGCTTATGTTGTCTACCTTGCGTGCTACGGGCGTCAGAAAAAAAGTATTCGGCGTTCCCCCAACTTCCCCTAATCCTCAAGCTCGGTAGGGTGGAGCAGATGATAGATCCTGTGAAGCTGCAGTTACGTAAAAATTGGGAAAGGCATGGTCGCCTGCTGGCAGTACTGCAAAGCGGGCATAGCGGACACAGAGCGGACATATGGAAATAGGCATAACGGATAGGATGGACCATAGAACTCTGTACACCATGGATGGACCAAGTACGCTGATGATTTTGTCCGCGGGCTGCCTAATCGTTGAAGACCACCAGCCGACCTGGCCTGCGGTCGCTGTCGGGTGGGCCTGCAGCCTACAGCCCTCTGGTGTCCCAGGGCACTGGGCCGCACCCGGTACCTCTTCGGAGGAGACGGCGCGGCCCGGAACCGCCGCCGCCACCCCACCCCACACCCGCCCCGCTGATGAAACGATGCAGACGGGGCCCGAGGCTGATGCAACCCGCGCCTGGCGAACAAAGCTAGAGAAAAACGCGAGACAAGGCGCTCCGTCACCGCGGCCGGTGCAAAATAGTGACGGCCGGACGGACAAACATGACCCGCACAAACATGGACACTGGCTGCACGGAGAACGACAGGCCCGGCGGCAGCCACCCAACCCGCGAATGGACCACAGCGCTGGCGAAAAAAAAGGCCACTGCGACATTGACGGAAAGGGGCAGTAAGCCTGCACAGGTGTGACTTATGTGTTCCTCTTTCATCATAAACCGGCACAGAGAAGGAAGAATGAGCATTGAGCAAGGCGCAAGCTACATACTGTGCAACGCGGGACACTTGAGAGAGCGAGATTGCAGGCAATCAAGCAAAATGAAAGATGTTAAAATAAACAAATTTAATAACACTATAAGCAGGCTGCTCTGAGGTCGCCCTGGGAGCGGCTGGCGGCGCCGTGCCCGCCAGCCGGCCGTTCGGTCGTCCCGGCGGCCCTGACGGCTGCCCCAGCTCCAGCTCCAGCCCAGCCCAGCCCCAGCTCCGGCGGGTGTGCCGGCCATCTGCACGGCTGATGGAGCCTGCCCGCCCGCCCGCCCGCCGACCCACAAGGACGCCGTGCCGTTTGGCTGGCTCCGGGGGACGGACGGCGGACCTGCAGTCTGTACTAAGACTAACCCCGCGTTCGATGTCTCCCGGACGACGAAGATTCTATGCCATCCGGGCCCAAAATGCCGTTCGATGTCGCACGGACGGCAAAGATTCTACGTGACGTCACGTAGAATCTTTGCCGTCCGCGCAGAATCTTTTGAGCGTGCTACGGTGGGCAGAGAGGCAATGATGGCGCGTATTTCAAAAGCGGCGCAGCAGCTGTTTGCAGAAGTTGTGACATTTGTGCGCGGTCTCTATGGAAACGTAAACTTGGGTCTTTTCGAAACTGACGCACGTTGTGTAAGTGGCGCACAAAATGGCCGGTCTCGTCGTCCGACTGTGTGCTTCATCGAACGCAAAATAGAATATTCTGTGTAGAATGTTCTTCGTCTGAGGAGACATCGAACGCGGCCTAAGACTGCAGTCTGTCTGTCCACCGGACACCGGTCCATGGTGGACACTGGATAGGGCGACCAGACCCGTAATACCAAGCACACCTGCATATCGTGAGTCATGATGAGCAAACGGGCCTGATAGCGTGTGTGTTGTGAACTGAAGTAGCTCTGTTGGGTTTGCCCGTGACAATCACCGTCAGGCGATAATGCACCTCCGCTTCGTCACTGCTTGTGTAAGCAAGGCGAACGGTCGCCACCAAAATGCGATCTCCATCCGATACAAGGTGAAGTTCCGCGAGATTTCACCTTGATACCACACGCCTTACGCCAATTATCAGCTGGATTCACCCACACCTGGCCAACATCGCGCGGCGGTATACAGACCCGGGCCGCACACTACCCTCGGGCCGACACGGACAGCCCGGCGCCCTCCCCCTGGGAGCCGCGCTGACCGGCCGGTGTGGGGCTGCTCACCTTGTTGAGGTAGTAGTCGCGCAGCTCCTCCAGGTCAGTGGCAAACTCGGGGTTCGGGCTGTTGGGCGGCGACTTGGGCCTGCAGGACACACAAACATACAGCCATCCATCAGCATCAGAGTCGCTGCAGCCGGGGAGAGTGGGAGGCACCACGCCGGGCTGCAGCCGCTGAGCGACGCGCCCGAACAGCCGGCCCAGCGTGAGGTGTGCGAACGCCCTCCAGAGTGCCCTCCCCATCCCGCCCGCTCACCCGCCTGCAAACGACCCCGAAAACGGCGCAGCAGACACGCCGCAACTGATTGGCATCACAATGTCAGAGGTCACGGAAAGGACACAGAGAGGGAGGGGCCTGAATAGATGTGACTTTTGAATGACTGCCGCATTCCATTACCGTAAATAACAGGATGTAGGCGTGTGACCGGAAAGTTAAGTGGGCGGAGAGCCGGCAAGACTTTCCAAGTTCACGGTGAACCAACCGGCATGGCGGGCATCCCAAAGTGAGCGGTGACCAGACTTGTGTTGACAGCGGTACCTAGGTATGTGTCCTCCATTTACATAATTCGTATAAATGAATGGGAGAGGTCAGTTAAAACCAGAACACCCATTATCATCGGACGAATACATCCAGCGCAAAAATGACCAACGTTTTGAGTAAGTTTAGTGTTGCTATAGTCGAATCAACAAGTAATAACATGCTGGTCTACATCAAATCGTCAGAGGCGCATACCCTTGCCACGCCGTCTGTTTGATGCGTCAGCAGACAGCGCGGCTGGAGGCAGTACGGCCAAGCGGCTCCAACCGAGCGGCCACTCGGGAGGGCCGGTCACGACAGCGGCTCGGTGCAGCTGCACTCGGCCCCAGAAATATACAACACCCTCGCCGGGAGCAGCCGTACACAGTCCCGATAAGGCAGCGACGCTCGGAATCCGCTCTCGGCGGCACAACTGGACGACGCTGGCGCTGCGCATGGCCAATGACAAACATTGCAAGTGATCAACAGACACAATACAACGGAAATAAAACTAAGAAAAGGAAAAAAGTAAAACTTGTTACGATCAGCATAGCAAAACTCTGTTCGAGCCTCAGTTAACTTGACACACCCGTGTGGTCAAAGCGGCACGACGCTATACCCCACAACCAGCCGTACCGAGGCATCTCGTCACTCCTTCAGTCAGCGAGGTCGACCGGTGCGGCGCGGCCGATCAGTACCCGAGTCGAACCAGCCGCCCCATCAGCCCGCCGCGAGCGAGGCCCGGTTGGCCGCAAGGTCAGTAATCATAAATCCCAACCCCACAGCCGCGGCCGTATCGTGGGCGCCGGAGCGGGGACTGAGGAGCGGCTGGTTGGCCATGGTTCGGGCTCCGCTCACACAGTCCGAGCCGCAGCTCCGCGTGGGAAAACGGCAGAGAAAGCCGCCGGGGTGCGACATTTAGAATGTCCTCTGCAGTCAAGCCTGTTGGTTTGTGTGCGAGAGCGACAACCGCACATTGTGCAAGCAATGGCGTGTATTCCTCTCGAGGAAATCATTCTAGCCGACCGAATCGAGGCACGATTCCTATAAGGTAAATATCGCAGCATTGATTCGCATGCATCTCTGGCAGTGTTGGGTGTGGTCCATCCGGACTGGTGGAACCGCCGGCACCCCTGCAGTCCATTGAGGGAGCAACGGGTGTGGTCCGTCTTGTTCGGTGGTAAGCGTCCCTCCCACCCACCGCAGGCCAAACATCAACCCTGCACGACCTCGCCGCTCTCAATCGTTCAGCCCGTCAGTGAAGCGCCGTGGCTGCAACAACATTTCTCGGTACCCCAACAGCGGGCGGCAAAAACCTACTCGGCTGCACAGACCGCGCCCTTGAACTTGGCCGGCCGAGCAGGACGGGACCAACTTCAGATGACTGGCACAATGTCAAAACCCAGCCGTGCTGCACGCACTGAATAAAAACCCGGCGCCACCAAGCAAATACTCACACATTGCACAACGCCACGAGGGCGACAGACCGAGCAGCACAACGTGCGTACGATCTGTCGCTGGCGCGGTACGATCCTATCAGCTGCTCATTGTGTCAGCGCGACCGCTGGACTTCATTAGACTCTTATATCAATATCGTCAGGCACAGGCTGCATGTGGCGCTGGCTCTTGGCATATAGTCTACCTCGCTCGGCAGTCGAGGGTGACAATAGCCCGGTGCGGTTACGAGTTCGGACCACTCCGTGTGCCTGCCCGCCAGGACAACCCACTGACACCTGTATCGCCAGGTGACACTGGTGTACCTACTAACACCTGCGTGCACGAGCCCGGCGACACAGCCAGGCAGACACGGAATGGCACGGCGGAACGCAACCCACCACAATACGACGCAACGCTGCACGGGGCACCGGCAAGTGGGGCCGCTCACCGCGGTCCCAGCGTCAGACACGCACATCAATCACAACACGACGGACTGTCCACACCCGGACACGGGGCCGCGAGCCACGCGGATCCACCCCCGGCAGGTGACATCAGTGTCAGCATGGCAGAGCCGCGCCGGGGCCCGCCCGAACCACGCTCCGCACCCACACGGCGCGGTCATTATGTAATGCAACAATGCATGAGATGCATGATGGAGCTGGCTGTCGGGTCGGGATCGACAGACCGGCGGCCGTACGGCGGGCGGCGGCGGCGGATGATACCGGCGCTCCACTGTTTACATAAGCCATGCGGTCAGACAGCCACCGACCGGGCCCGCTGACCGCGCGTCACGGCCCGATCACGTGACCGGGGTGGCGCGGCGCGGCCAGCGACCTGCAGAGGCCGCCCAGCTGCGCCTCCGCCGAGCCGCGCCGCGCCGCGCCGCCGCTCACCGTCCGTCACAGGCTGATGAATGGAGCCGCCACCAACAGGCTCCATTGGAAAAGGGCTTGGGGAGAAAGTGGCAGATCATTTGACCCGAGAGACGAGCCTAGATCGGCGGATTCGACCCAATGTTCGGCGTTCGAGTCTGGGACACGGACTGGCCGAGCCCTTGACGTGGCGGATGATCAAACACCGACCAGGTCCCCAGGTCCGCCACACCATCAATTCATACAGTACGAGAGGCTGCAGAGTACGCAGGATTGGCTGGTACCGGGTCAGACCTTCCGAGTGACTGACTATCGACAACCGATAGTGTCTGATGACAGCGACAATGTGCAGGATCATGAATGACTGCTCACGAGTAGGTGTCCAAATGGCCCCCAACCGGCGCGGTGACCACGTCACAAAGGCAGGTGAAAGACCTGGCCCTCATCCTATTTGAGGCTTGAAGCAATGTAATCGTGACTCAACGGTTCAGTCTGGGATGGTTGCACTCAGTTGTTTATTGACCAATGTAGCGCCACCATGGCATACACATACACGTCCACTGATGCAAAGAGCATTCGCGAATCCTTTCATCTGCAGTACGCTCACACTTCCCAATGAGAGCCCACGTCATGCAACGACGCCACTATTCGTCAGCGCGCATCAAAGGACGTCGTCGATCTGTCCTGAGCCGACCATCGCCAGGCTACGCAGTTTGAAAACTGAGCACTCGGCTGATGCTGACATTTCCTGGAGGCTGGAATAGAAGCCAACCCCGGACCGTCCCAAACTGCATTGCACGCCAGGCTGTATTCGGAAGATGACAGGGCAATGCTCTATTGAAGGTGCATTCAAGTTACTCAGTGCCGAGTAACTGCATATGCAGCATCCCTAGAGTGACGTCAACATTGAGTGGGATTACTGAATACAGCAAAACAGGGTTCATAGACAAGCACGTTCGAGCTTTGTAAAGCTGCAATGGCCAGCTATCTTGAAAATGCAGGTTATTTAGCTCATGCACTGAAAGAGCGTGTTGTGCTTACGCCACCAGTGACTTCGCAAAGAAGCGACACAAAAACACAGTGTCAGATTTGGCCCGTAGTCGATGTCTACGCCTTTGTGTGTGAGACAGTGAGGTCAATAGTGAAGAGAACGATCGATACAAAGGGACCGACGGCGACAGTGGACCAGGCCGGACAAAGCGCGCACTGTGCAGCCAATCTCCACCCGCGCGCCCCGAGAGGCGCTTGGACGGCTTGTCTCGTCTATTACTGGAAACGATAGCTCATACTAATTAAATCAAGATTTAACAGTGACAGTTCTTCAAAAGTGCAGTCCTTCAAAATGCTGACGCCACTAACATTCAGCTTCCAGCAAAACCCAGCGACGATCTTTTTCAAGTCTGTCCAAATTCAAAGAATCCCGACACGTTCTGAGCTGTAGTAACTTCAGACGAAGTGTAACAAACTTGTTGACAGCCAGCTCTGACTTGACGTCAACTCCGCGGGACAACAGAACCCTGCCAAGATCCCATTTCCCAAACAGTCCCGCGTCTATCGACCGATCGTTTCCCTTCCAGGAGCGGCCGGCGGTCGGGGTCGGTCGGCGGTGACGCTGGTGACGAAACGGCCGAAACGCGCAGCCGTCGCCGGCCTTGAGCGGCCGCGCCGGTGCGCCGCCGCCTTTGTGTCGGCCGCTGAGGCCGTGCGCCGGCGCCGCGGGCACCTCCGCCGGCCGCACACCGTCGGGTCATGACGTCACCGACCCGACGATCGACCGAGCGCGTCATGACGGCGCCGCGTCGGCCGCCCAGTTCGGTCCATAACAGCGCCGCTCACCGCCGCTAGAAGTCTCCCGGTTTGGACCAGGCCACCTCCCCGCCACCACCATGGCCCAGTTCGCCCATAACACCAGTCCTTTGCCGCGCCTCAGGGCCGGCCGGTCAGCTGGGACGCCATCTCTCCTCCACCCCGCCCGGTCGGCAGCTGTTCGACCCGCCCCGCCCCGTCCGGGCTGGGCTGGCGTCGTCACCCAACGAGCACGTGCCCGCCCCCACCGTCGAGCGAGCCGGCCGGCCGGCGCAGGAACTGGAGTATCCGGTCAATGAGCAGCGCGGACCGTGTGACGCCCTTATCGGCCAGCAGTAACATCGGATTGCGGCGAGCAGGCCACTGCAGCTCCCCTCTGCCGACAAACCCTCAGGAACTGACCGGGGGACGGGAAATGACGGCGCTGTTGGCAGCGCCAGCGGCTTTGTACTG